AAGTATGGAAGAGGCATACCACCTTCTTCATAACCGATGTCTATTACAAGAGTAATAATATTCAAAGTTTACTATAAAAGGGTTCCTTATACAATAGATCCCTCTCTCTCTCACAAAAATATAAATTGAATCCTTCGAATTCATACTAACCTAAGTATCAAAAAGATATTATCAAGAATGCCTTCGATGCAGTTTTACTTAAGGACTATCATAATTGGGTAAAAATGGTATTAACTAAAATCGACTTGGGATAGATGCCCAAGAAAGATCTCAATTGTCTTTGAATCAATATCCGACTCGAATTAGCAAACGACATCTCCACGTTTAATGAGTTTGAAATGGTTGAATTGGCGAACAAAAGAATCCAATTTGTTTTAATCTAAACATGCATAAAAATAAAATAAAATGTTGGAATAACTGAAGCTATCACATGACACTACCCGAAGCAGCACAAACATAAGCGCTCATCATATGAATAAATTCCATTCCCTGCAAGATTTGCGCTTGGGGTCTCCTCACTAAATTATCACTTGCATCTTTCCAACCCCCTTCTACTTTACTCGAAAGAACCCAAAAAGCTAGAAAGAGCCAAAGCCCAAAAGCAACCAACACAGACACCATCAAAAGTTGAGGCATTCCATCTAGTCTTTACCTGCAGTTTAAACAAAAACACAAGTACAGGAAGATGAGTCGATACTAAATGACCTTTTTCTTTGAAGTTAAATAACATTTTGAAATTGAAGTGGTGATGAGAAATGACCATCATTTTCCGGTTCTTCGGATGAAGGATAAGAATATGATCATGATGACGAGTCCCAGCGTGACGCCTATTATGATCGCCAGAGTTTTCCCACTCACACCACCTGAGATTTCGATCAAGTCGAGCAATCTAAATAGTGGCCACTGAAAGAGAACAAAAGAGCTGCAGAACTTAACTAGATAGCTCAATATGTTACTGAGTGATTCATATGCATTACTATCTCATCCTGCTGTCACTGGATTCAATGGTTATATTGAAAAGGCAAACGATTAGGTTTGGAGACATCAAAAAGCGTATAAGACTTCTTTTTATTTGATCGCTTTGCTTTCCCAGTTTCTTTTTGGGAGAAAGCAGCGTTGTATGGCCGGAAGAAAGAAGTAGCTTTATCGTAAAGTTCGTGGGAATTATGGAGAGAAAAAGTGGATGGCAACTTGGCCACTACGACTTTACAGTATATTCATCCAAACGTACGTGTTGATGGCCAACTCGTCAGTTTTTGACGACACAGCCAAATACAGGAGAGTCCCATAGTTCTATCTTTTAGCGGTGAATTTAATTGACATGGCCATAATGTGGTCGATCTAAGCAATGACGATGTAAATAGTCCATTTATTTTCCCAAATTAACTAATATTTTTTCTCCTAAAGAATATTATCGAAGTCTCTCCCACTGGGCATTATTCTTACAAGAGACGAAACAGCAGTCTCTATCTCCTTGTAAACTTACATTAAATAAACCCCGAAACATCCAAACAAAGCATAGAATGTTCTTTAAGTTCTCAAAACAACAAGCCTAACTCAGACATAGCCCAAAGTGTTAAGAGAGCAAGCAAAAGAAAGCAACGGCAGACCACCGCCAGTTAACGTAAAGCCGCTTACCGTGATAGTGCCTCGAAGTATATACTCCGTCGGACCAGTAGCTGACGTAGCACTTCCCAAGGTAAGCATCTCCAGCATTGGCGACCCCGCAGCCGTCCTTGAGTTGCGCCACTGCCGCCGCCACGCAGTCGCTGCATTGCTTCACGCTCTGGTCGCCGACGCACTGCGCCAGCGCCCGCACGTGCCCCCCGGCACCGACCCTGTAGCTCCCTCCGCCTCCCGAGAGACCGGACAGGGCCGCGTCACGCATGCCGAGGAGGTCGGAGTTGTACCCGCCACCAGGCACGACGGAACCGCACTTCTTATAGAGCAGAGTGGTGTCGGGCTCGCCGAGGAAGGAGTCGTTGCCGTAGCGGACGAAGCAGCCCTTGAGCTGAACGCCGGCGCCGGAAGCAGAGGGACAAAGGGACGAGAGCTGATCCAGGGCGGAGCGGACGCAAGAGGCGCAGTCGGCGACGGAGAGGTCGACGCGGCACTGAAAGAGGCCGTAGGCCGGGGACGAACCGGAAGCGGCAGAGGAGGTGAAGTTGTTGTATGAGGAGAAGGTGGCGGCGTTGGCGACCGACGTCAAAAGAGAGTCTACGTTGAACTGGTAGGGAGAACCAAGGATGTACTTCGACTGCGAGCAGCCAACGTAGACAAAGGAGGTATAGTCATCGAAAGACGCCATCGTCGTCGATGAAATAAGGGAGAAGAGGAGACCGAGTATAGGGAAGAGCTCAGACATCTCTTTCATGTGTTTCGCCTTTGTATGGTTTGGCTCTTGGGAGGAGCACTGGACCTGCATGAGGGTGGTGGGAGTGTGCCAAATCACTTGGGAAGAAGGAGGGACACTAAAATATATAGCAACAAGTTTCTTTCATGGAAATGCTTCCTCGGCATGGAAGGTGGGTTGTGCGGTGGACAAACAAATTATTGGTCCAATTCAGAGGAACTTTCGGTCATTGTCTTGACCTGATCATATGTGTTGCTTAGCCTGCAAATTAGAGAGCTTTCTTAACTTCGTTAGTCCACTTTCTCACACTCACATCCAGTCAATTTATATCAGTTTGATTAATAATGTTAAAATGATTTGTTTTGTGAAAGTTAATTTGATTTGTATCTAGGAAAAGATATTGTCTTAGAGGAATTCATACTATATCTCCTTAGAAATAATGCCATAGGCTTCTAGAAGCAGTTTAAGTATGTAGTATTTAGATCGGGAAGATTGCAGATATCCATGACACTTGCTGGTGTTATAATAACACGTGCTGGACATCCCTTCTACTATGGGATTGATTGCATGAGCACTCAAATATATTGACTCAAACTTCATTTGTGTTTAGGTAAGGCGAAAAGCTGAAACCGTATAGCAAACCCAACCTTATTTGGATGAATCATTCGGTAGGTTAATCTAGTAACTATCAAGTTATCCTCCTTAATCCTATATCCTTAATGATTCTACATCATACTGTGAATATGACCAACCTGACTTTGGTCAAATCTCAATGTACAAAAAATCTATATGGAAATAAGTCTAATAGGTTCACTCTATCACTATAACTATATCATGAGCGAAATATTCTCATGATATTTTATATCTAAATGACTCGATTATTGACTGTAGTTCATCCCCTAAGTGTTCACTCTATCACTATAACTATATAATATTTGGTCATAGTTGACTTGTGATGCTTTCGAATGACTCTAGTTCTTCTCCCTTACATAGCCACCTAACTCCCATGGGGATCTACGTTATTGGTTGTCAATTGTCGAGAGGTGGTTTGGGTCCCATTACAATTATTGTCGGCTAGAATTGCAAGTCTTCAAGACTAAGGAAGAGATTTAACATTACAATTCTTCCTTCTCTCACCTTATCCCTAAAGTGATGCTCTGGAATTTGTAGCATCATCATCGCAATCTCTCACGTAGCTTCTTCTTTTGGATGACCGATCACACTCTTACGAATCAGGTGTTTGAATAGTTTTCAGTATCTTTGATTTTGATCGGTGAATGTGGTTCTTCTTCAATGGGTTCAGAGGTATATCTATCTACATTGTCTTCTTCTTGCTAGTGATAGTTTTCATCCATCCGTTGGCAGACTATGGTTTGAATATTTTATCTTCTCTTGTTGAGGCCTAACCTGAGGTTTAAGTTATCCCATCTTAGTGCTTAAACTGTCATAGCACCCCCTTTTCCTGTTTCAATGATAAAGTGCTTTTGTCATCAGAGTAGCTTTCAATACAAAATTATTTTGAAAGATTCTCATGCTTTTGGATTATCTCCTAAAGAATAAACAAATATTTCTAGAGGTTTCTTATCATTTTTTTTACTTTTGGAGCATATCCAAAGAATCACTGTTCTAAAGACAGATAATAATGCATGACAGTGACTTGTGTTTCTAAAATGCAACTTTCTATGCCATGATTTCATGTTCCCATCAGGTGCAGTTTCAACTTCGTCACCTGTCTTTCTTGAGAGCTATCGTGATTAAGGGAATATTAATTGATTATTTAGGTTTATATGTTTAGTCAGCTACCTTTCGATCTTTTCTTTTGTTATCACTTCAGCCACTAACTAATTCATATTTTTATTTTTTTTTAGATTTAATGATGAAGACAGAATTCGAATAAATTATCTTCTCAAATTAATTTATGTTATTATTTTAAATATAAAAAATACTTGTTATCAGTAGAGTCCAAACTCGATTACATCATCATATTCGGGCCTGAATGGACTCGGCCCAGGCCCAACATTTATCTTTTAATATCATCATCATCTCGGAGCGCGATGGTATTCCTTCCCATCCATGACGACGACAGAAGGGCCTCATTTCTCATAACTCCAATTAATTGGTATTAGAGTTAGTCCTAGAAAATTTACCAAAGGATAATTTTGATAACCCAACAAAAACAATAAAGCGGAAAAGATAAAAGCGACAAGAATACCAGATTTACGTGGTTTGGTTAATTAACTTTGACCTATATCCACAGACGAAAGAGGAGCAAATCACTACTATAAAAGGGATTATTACAAATGTCTTAGGAAGATGTTCCTAGGTCATAAAACACCCGAAAATACTAAACAAGAAAAATCTCAACTATAAGTCCAAACTATTTAACTGAGTGTGGACTTAAACCCAAAACAAACACTTAAGTTTTTCTTATGGTGTCACTTGTGGTGCATCTGACTTCAAAGCTCAAGCCCTTATTTATAGTTTCAATAGAAGATAACAAGTCTGATTTTTCCGACGTAGGACTATGAAACTTATCAAACTAACAATTGGTGTTACTTATCGAGTCGTTCCCTCTTCCTGAGGTTTATAATGTATAAAAGGTGCTCATGGGCACACAAAAAAGCACGAGAACCGCAGAAAAAACTCCTTGGTTTATGAACACTTTCACCTTCATTTCATCATCGAATTAATTGGAGTTGTTCTACTTCCCTACGGAAGAGGAAAAACACACATTTGCACTCTTTTCCTAATCTCTCTGCCCACACATATCGTACATCAGACTTGAGGTCACCTGAAATGGTTTGAGCTCCGATGATGGCCTCATTTCGTTTTATGTACACGAAGCTAGAGTTTGGCGTCGGTGCAGTCACGGGATCATCTCCAAATCCTCGCTCGAGAGACGCTTCACCAATCTAGCTAATGCTTCCTTCATCCACGAGTGCTTGCACTCCGCCATTGCTTCCGCTACACTGATCTGTTTCACCAAGCGACGATATAGTAAGCAACTCGGCACCTCATCTTCCAGTGAAAACAAAGACGAAGCAGTTCGATCTTCTTCTACTCACCCATTTCCGTGTTCGGATAGCCTTCTCAGGCCAGCAGTACAGTTCTTCGGTAACATTCAAAGGGAACATGACGGCCTCGTGAATCTTATCATGGCTTTTGCTCTTATATCTCCATATTCCAAGGCTATCCTGAGATCCATGAAAGGTAGTCCTCGTTAGCGAACTTCCTCCCCGTACGAAGCTGGAAAGGATGGAGTGTAGTACATACACTAAGAAGGTTTGTACACTGACCTCAAGATGTCCTAAGACACCTGCTTCCTCAAATGTCTCCCGATAAGCTGCTTGGATTATGGATTCATCCTGTTCCCAACCGCCCTGTCAGAAGAATGACGTAAAGATCTATAATCCAACTGAAATCAAGTTCAATTATTTCCAGAAAACAGTAAATCTGTTACTTATACATACCTTCGGGAACATAATTTCTTGTCTCTTCTTGCTGGAGCTAATAACAAGAACCTCGACAGCTTGATCGGGGTCACATGGCATTGTCTTGACCCTGTACGGGATGCACCTGCCCAACCGAAGCAAGAAACGTCAGGTGACAATGACGTTGATCGAGTAGGTCAAGCTTGCTCAGGCATTTTACTTGGGAGGGAGAGAAGGTGTTGTACAGCAATAACAGTAAGTTTCCAGCTCAAACACTCGAAAAAAAAGGGCTGGCGGTTTGGTGTCAATTTGTCATCATCCGATGTATGAAAGCGAAACATTGCTTAAAAGAATGAATGGCAAGGACATGTGGACCACACATGAGTGGGATTTAAGCTTATCATTTAGAAGGAAAGTTGAGAATAAGAACAAAAAAGATGATGTGTTCTGATGAACCCAACAGTAAGCCACAATAATTGGTTTCAAGAACAATCGAGATGCCATCTTTCTGTCGTAATCACGAGAGAAGCAATCACCAACCGAGCGAAATGAATCAAAGATGGAAATCAAATTTCTTTTGTGATTCTTTCTTCACATCCATCAGGAAGAGAACTGCAAAAGGAAATCAAAATCGTCGAAGCAATCAGAAGAAGAGAACGCACCCGACAATAAGACGGCTCCCGCAGCTGTCGTAGCGCTGCAATTGCCTTCCTTGACGAGACACCAAAGCAACCGTCATCTTCTTCTTCCTTTCGCTCTACCTGCTTCGTTTGGCCTCACGGAAACAAGCACTGGGATATCCACTTCTATGCAGCTGGAAGGAAGCCCGAAAAGGAAAGACGGAAGAGAGAAATATGCGCCCTTTCTGCTATGCTTATCCTCTCGAAATACCAAAGAGACGGGTCTAGAGAGCGAGAGGAATCCCAACGCACCGAACTGCGGGCGAAACGAGGAGTTTATAAGGAGACACAGAGGGTGTGACGCTTACGGCTAGTTGGGCCGACAAGCCAACGTGGGAGAGAGAAACGTGTTATGATACTAGTAAACAACGGGCGTACTCGGTACCACGAGAGCGTGGCAGCTGAGATGGACGCCGCGGGGATGGCGAGACCGAGGCGGACACTGTGGTCGCAAGCTTGTCCCGCGCGCCCCACGTCGCAATAATGACTCCCAAATCATTGTGGCAAATTATAAGTACCTCGATGTGAGAAACTCCACCGAACTGGGTCCGCTATGAGCTGTCTGAATCGAGAACTCTTGATCTACGAACGATTCAGATTCGAATGATAGTATTCAACTTATTTTGATCTAATAGGAAATTTCTCATAAATGGATTGAGCTAGTTGTTATGTCTTGCTCCCTTGATACAATAGTCTCATCAAGTTTAGAGACTTTACAAAACTAGTCCAACAAGATCTCTCTCATATTTATGTTATGTTAGTAAAAGAAATTCAAAGAAATAAATTTAATTATGAGAGTCCAAAGATAAATAAATAGATCCTCCCTTTGTGCGCCTACCGGATAATCTTTGGCGGCACTAATGAATGTTAGGTTGACTTGATTGGATATGGTTAGGTGATGTCATATCATTGTCATGTTGATAGCACTCCGTTATATATATATATATATATATATATATATATATATATATATATATATATCACTTCTCCAAAGCAAGAACAGTAGAGAGCCCACCTTCTTGTCGAGTGCGTTCAGATGCCCAACCCGGCAGCCCGGGAAGAACGAGCCCGTCTATCCCTACAAAGATCACCGCTTCTATGTCAGTAGACTCAGCAATCATCTCCCGGCTTGTGGAAACTTGTATGTGTTGGAATGGGGCCACAACAAGTGTTTCAAGGCCATGCTCATTATGATCAGAAGAGCACCGTAGACACGGATTTTGGCGTGCTTAAAGTTTGCTTTCGATCGCTCTTCTCCCATCATATCAAGTGCCTGCTCGTCTTGGAGAGCAGGCAATAGGTACTGGAATAGTGATGCATCGTACTCTGCTCCAACGTTGTAGTAACATTGCACAAAGCTATATGAAAGTTCCTCCACAAAAGTTCTCTAGAAAATTTTATAGACTTAATCAGATAAAACCCATTTCTTTGGGTTGATTGAAAGAACAGAAACAAAACTGATACGCTAAGCTGATGCTCCATCACCGTATACACCTATATCCAGTTGTTTTTGGACGCACTGTTCCTTCAGAACCTACTGCATCTTCTCCAATCTTTCTCATGAAAGATATGCCCCCTCCTGTTGACACCTCATATGAGAGTGGGTCGATGAAACTTGTTTCTTTAAGAAACATAGATATGGACGAGATTTGTGGGAGTAACAAGGGTGACAACCTATTGTTACCTGGAAGCTGTCTATTGCATGAGTGGCTGTGACTTAAAATTTCATTGAATGCTTTCCTTTAGAAGCTTAATCGGAGAGCATCAGGAAACTTGAACCAAATGCATGGAGAATGGAGGAAGTCGACGCCAGCAAAGTGTTCCTTGTCTTTGCTTTTTCTAATACTTTATGACTGGAGACAATCTGGCGTAGACCAACTTGATCTAAAGAACGTCAAGTTCCACCCAAACATTTGGCGACATGTGGTGACTGCCACTTGATGCTGAAGCATATGATCGACAGTTGGTGCAGGGAATAATTTTTAGGAAGACGACGATTCTACTAAGGACTAACAACAAAGAAAGTTCTGTAAAGAGATCTCTTGATCGGTACGCAAGGCATACTTTAAAGAAATTTCTTCGCTATGTAATACATTTTGTATAGGGAAGGGGGGACGCAAAACCTACGAAAATGACGATTGAGGCTTTGGCTGTCCGCTTCACGCGTCCGTTTCTCCTCCTCTTTTTATCTCTTTATCGTGTAGTATCCTTGTTATTCTCTGTTCCATAACAGATGGTGATGTATTTGCAGCAGCAGATCATAATTGATGTCGATTTATTATCTTATCTCATTAGGTTCATAAGCTATGTTCCAAGGATGGACTGTGATCTGACAGCCACGGATTAGATGAGATAAATGAGGCTAAGGCACAAGATTTGTGTATAAAAGAAACTAAAGGTCATCGTAGATACATACATGTTTAAAAAAAGTTGAAGAACACGTGAAAAGTGGGGAGGATGCATCTGTAACTTCAGCATAAAATTAATGTTAATATTTTATGATCTTAATTAATTGATTAAAATATAATAGAATTTTAATTATATTGGTTATTGCTCAATGAACTCTACTTTTCTTAGACTTTTTATCATAGGCAAGATCTTCTAGGATCATATCATCAAAAATTATTTCTCTCACCCGTACCTACTCCTTAATTATAGTGGTACCGAAAATTGAAAGAGAAGAGAAAGAAAAACTAGCTTCTTTACATAGATTTATGATGCATATAGATCACGATGCCTTATTTTACAACATCCAAGATATCCTATTAATTATCGTGTTCAAAATATATGTAACTTTTATCTTTGATCTATGATACTTGATTTTAATTTTGATATAAAATTTTTGTATAATAATTTTTATTTCTTATAATTTGTATCAAAGCAATCTACGTTATCATAGAACATTAAATAAACTAGATCTATGCATTATATCTACTTTTTGATCTATTTATGTATTAGATTTGAAGTTATCTAGGAATAAAATATTGGAAAACTATAAAGAAATAAAATAATATATCTGTAAGGGATAAAAACGTATATGCTCACGTATAGAAAACTCAACTTTAAATGATGATATTTTCATATAATAATTTTGTAAATTATTTTGATAGTCGAAAGTCTGCTTATTATTTATGTTTACATTAGCTAAAAGAGTAATTCACAAGAATATTATAATATATATTATTGATAGTATAAGATATTTCGTAGCATACTTTGTCACTAATCAAGTTTTATAATTATGAAATTACATCTAATGACTTAGCGTGGTCAAACTCAATAAATCATTGAAAATAATATAACAATTCTAAGTATATAAAATACTTGGTCATTAGAGAAAAAGTCTAAAAACAACTAATGTCAATTAAGAAGTTGAGTTTCAATTCTAATATATATATTGCTCATTGTAAGGTCTTATAGCCTAAAGTTTTTAAAAAATATATATTTTTATGATTGAATTTGTGAGTAACCCATAAAAGATATAATAATATGTATTTGAGCGAACATTATAATTGATATTTTTACTTATATAATTAAAATTATTTATTTTTATTATTATATATATTTATGTATGTATATATTATATTTGAATGTGATAATAATATTATCTTAATAAAATAAATTATATGAGTTATTTTAGACTATATTAGAAAAGACTAACAATACATAAAAGAGGTATGATAAAAATGATATATAACCATTATGATTCGTATTACTAGTCAGACTTAATATAATATTATTATATATATTAATTTATTTTTAAAATTTATGTGTGTTTAAATACTTTTCAAAAATTTAAAATATAATTAGATAAAATTATTTTTAAATAATTTTGTATTTATTTTAATTTTAAATTATTTTATATCGTATCAATTAATTTGTCAAAAGAATTTTAGATTCTAAAATTGAGTTCTGATTAAAATATTAAATTTTGATTAAAATTATTTTTTAATAAAAAAATATTTATATTAAGATACGATGATCTCGATGAGAGAAATTTTTTAAATTACCTTATATAGGTAACTAATCAATCAATTACTGTAATCTAAAAATAAAAAAAGGAGAAAATCAATTACTGTAATCTAAAAATAGAAAAAGAGAAAAAAAAATCTAACTGTTTTCTTATATAGATTAATATTACGGTGTATACTTTGATAATATTTTCTTATAATAATTTTTATTTCTTACAGCGGGAACCTTCTCCTTCCCCACCGTGCTGCTGATCGTTGGCCACTCCTTTTACTGTGCTTTCGTCTTTCTATTTGCTCTTTGTGGTCACGCATTAAATTAAGATCGGTCCGCTTGCGACTAGCGCCGGAGGGCGGCGATGTCGGTGTCGTGCGGGCTGGAGTGCGTGCTGTGCCTGGGGTGCTCCCGATGGGCGTGGAAGCGGCTCACCTACGTGGGCGCCTATGACAGCGAGGCGTGGCCGCCGGCCGCCGCCGAGGATGTCGAACCCATACCCCGCGCCTGCCGCGCGGTGCTTGCCGTGTACGAGGAAGACCTCGCCAACCCGCGGTATGCCCCCGCCGGCGGCTACCGCATGGACCCCTCCGACGTCGTCAAGCGTGTCCCATACGATCAGATCCCCGATGGCTGCTGCCCCCCTTACCTCATCTATGTCGACCGCCAGCACAAGGAGGTCATCCTCGCCGTCCGTGGCCTCAACCTCATCCGCGAGAGCGACTACAAGGTCCTCCTCGACAACCGCCTGGGGCAGCAGATGTTCGATGGGGGATTCGTCCACCACGGCCTCCTTCAGGCCGCCACCTGGCTCCTCAACCACGAGGGCGACACCCTCCGCGACCTCCTGAGCAAGCTCGGCCCCGAGTACAAGCTCGTCTTCGCCGGCCACTCTCTCGGCTCCGGCATCGCCGCCCTCATGACCATCATCGTCGTCAACCACCGCAACCAGTTTGGTGGAATCCCCAGGAACCAGATCAGATGTTACGCCATTGCCCCGGCCAGATGCATGTCTCTCAACCTCGCCGTCAAGTATGCCGATGTCATCAACTCCGTCATCCTGCAGGCAAGTGCGTGTCTCCATTTGTATGTCGTTTCTGTACCTTCTTCAGCTGCTTTCTTTGGATAGAAGAAATGGGATTGTGAAATGTATTTTCTTTAAAACTCGTCGGGTTCATCGAACGGGGAAATCTGAGAATTTTGCTTACTTTAGAGATTACTTGTGAACTGATCAAAATTGATAAGTCATTCTATATCCTTTTCAACTAGTAGTTGGTGAGAGTAGGTTAACGATG